CTGCTGGCATGGGCACAGCTGGCCCCTGCCAACCTAAGGAGCCCACCAGGTGCTGTAATCCTGCAAGATGACAGCCCTTGCAGCATGGGATTAGGACAGCAGATGCTCCTGGGGGTCACCCCCTTTCCTGTAGGTCGCAGGATCTCTCTCCCAACGTGCCCAAGAGTTGGCAGGCAGGGAATCCTGCCTAGAGCAACCCCATGGCTTATTTGGTACATACAGAGCCTGCACACCCCCTTCCCAGTATCTGCTTAGTGGCCTGGTTTCTTCTCGAAGCTTTTTATATTTCACATTCCTAAGATTTAATTATGTTATCAGAACAACAGGCATCGGGATTTGGAGTGCCAGAATTCACATTAGCAATTGCTATCAACAAAGAAAATGGGCACAGCATGCCCATGCCAGAGGAGATGTGGGCTGCTCTCCTCAATCTACTCACGGTTATTTATAGCCTGTTTGCAAGCCATCCACCTCCCAGGTTTAGCTTCAAGCTTGCTTCTTTCTGAGCACCCTCTCTCTCAAAGAAAAGCCTTTTGCCTCCTCCTTGCCCAGCACCACACTCAGATTTGGGCAAATTTATTTAATTTTTTGGGAGGCAAGGGTAATATAAAACACCTTTGAATCCACAACAGCAGAAAAGACTGGAAACAGAGTGCCACAAATAAGCAGCTGCAGGGACACCTAAATCTCAGCGGTAGAAATTTAAAAAAAACCCAATATTTATAGTTTTTAACACTTCACCACATTGCAGCAGATCACCACGCATCTTCAGCAGCTTTCAGCCCTCCCCACAGATGGGGATGCAGGCACAGGATCTCTAAGGAAGGACACATGCTTGAAGGCAAGAAAGACCCACCTATTTTGAGATGACTGCAAAGAAACCGCTCCGTGGTAGCAGGAGGGGAGCGATAGCTGTGCCTCCACACCAGCATTAACTATAACCTGCTCATCCTCTAACCAGCACCACTTCGAGGCAGTTCCACTCTGCCAGGACCTTTTGCTTCCAAATAATTAAGAAACACAAGACACAGTGCTCACGGTACAGGTGCAAACCTCCCCTGAGCAGCAGCCAGCACGGACAGCTTGTGCCTTCTTCCTCCCAGTCCCAGCTCCTGCTAAACTCAGCCCAAGGACTGAGGCAGGTGTTAGGCGTGGGTCAGAGCTCAGCTCCCCAAGGCTGGGAGAGATTCTGCACTTCAGAGAACGCCCTCATGCCAGCTAGCCAGCACTGTGCTGGGTCAGCCCGAGGGTGCCAGGCTGTCCTCGCACACCACGTCACCCCCGTGCTCACAGCTTTGTCACCTGGCTGCCACCAGCATCGCTCAGGACAGGGCTCCCCACAGCTCACCCAGGCAGCGCTGAGCCCCTTCAAACGGCCCCAAAACCCCCGGACAAAATGCAGAAGTGCTGCTGGGCTAGGTCCAGCCCAGTCACTAAGGAAATGCTCAGTCAGGCTCCGACTGAGACACGGCAGCTCCTTACACGCCTAAAATTCCAGATGGCCCTGGAAAAGAAAGAAATTATTAGAGTACATTGTAATAAATTTTTTTTAAAGTGGCAAATTATAAAATACTTGCAATTAAAGTAATCATTATTAATACATCATAAAAAATGGCAAACACCACACCCCTTCTGCTAAAGGGTGGAGGAAGCTCAAGCTTACAATTCTAGCACGTTTTATTTCATGTAAATTTATAAAGACAACAATCCTAGTCACGATTGTCACATTGTACAGCACATACCAATACAGTTGCAAACAGAACTCCACGCAAAACTAAGCGCTAACAGTAGCCTGAATCACTCTTCCTGCGATTGTCGTATCTAGACTAACAGTATTACACTAACACTGAAGGAAAAATAGTTCACTATAAAACAGTGATAGAACATTTTTATAAAATATATTCCATTCCAATAGCTTTTCTACATACTGTATACTATAAAACTCTCCCACAAAAATTAGTGTCTTTAAATATACATATTTAATCTGAACTGCACCAAGATTAAAAACAATTAAAAATATCAATGATTTTTTTTTTTTACATTAACTTCACAGTATTTGTTTGTAGTAGAAGACAAATCCAGTGTTTAAAATGCAGAGCAGGACTGTTCCCTATGGAGACAGCAACTGCCCCACAGAGAAATAGTTTATGAAGAGACAAGCGTTAAGTGTGCCATGTTTCAGTACTTCTCCGTAGAGCCATGAACCATTTTGAAAACATGCTCCGAGCTATTGCAACTTAAAAATAAGAGACACAGAGAAATAGCCAAAAAAAAAGTCACCTTAAGAACAAAAATAAGTGCAAACATTTCTTTACTTTAGAAATTCAAGCTAAGAGGAGTGGGAACACAAATACCAGACTCTGAGAACAGTGTGTTCATGATGTAGTCAAGGATGAGAAACTCCTTTTTTTCTTATTTAAAAAAAAAAATATCAAAACAAAACTTTTGCCCCATATTCACTGCAGCACAGAGCATGCTCATAGCATCAGTTTAATGAATTATTTCTATACTAAGATCAGACAAAAACTTGTTTCAACTTTTCCCTGCTCCATACGCTAATGATGTTCTTATGGCACATCCTATTTTATGATCTTCTAAAAAAAAAACAAAACAGTATTTGAAGACTGAAATGCAAACAAAAGTGTCACAAGAATGCAAAATTAAGATTACCAGCTTCAGTAATGCTGACTCTACATTAAACTCTTTACATGTTGCTCAACATGCAAAACCCATTGTTATAAAATTTAAAGTGTAAATTAACTAGTTTTGAAATAGATTAACAGTAATAATTCCACTTCAAAAACAAAACAAAAAAAATCTAATAAATACTATATCAAGTATCTTCAGGAGAAAAAAATAACTTAATTTTAGTAGAAAGAAAAATAACTTAATTTTACTAGATTTTGTTCAGTGCTATTTCCAATCACAGCAAAAATAAAAAAGGAAAAAAAAAGAAAAAACTGATTAAGTAGAATAAGACCACAGTACCAAAGCCACTTATGTTCAAGATACAGTACTCTCCCACAACTTTCATATGTAACAGGTTCAGCAAAAATATTTTACAGTTGAGAAATTAAACTGAAAACAAACCCCAAAACTATAAATAAAAGCAAAATTTCACATTACATGTACATTCATAGTTTAAGAGATGAATAATAAGAGGCTGTAACAAGTATATCCTGATTTTCCTTAAAGAGGAAGTACTTATTTAAAAAAAAAAATTAAAAAAAAACCAAAAAAACCCCCAAAAAAAGCCAAAACTCAATCCCATATTATTTATGTAGGTAGTGCTCAGTTTTTGGACCAGAGGGGGAAAGGCATTGGGAAGTTTTTTCTTCATAAGATGCAATACAGTATTTTAAGCACAACTTTTAAAAATAATCTAACTCAGTGCTTCAAATTCATTTCAAAACACATACTTAAGTTTCACCAAACAACTCCAGGAGTGTCAAGAAAGCTGGTGAAGCAATGCTAATGCAGCAGAAGGATATTCACACCCCTCAGATATTATTATTATTATATTTCAGTCCCATGTACAGGTACCTTGAATGGGTAATTTGACTGGAAGGGAACAAAGTGATATCCACCAACATGCACAGACCAAATGGTGATCTAATAGGCAAGAAAGTGAATCATCTGGAGTAAAACTGGCTATAGTTACAGGCAGCCTCAATTTACAAATAAACTAAAAAAAATAAAATAAATTACCCCCAACAACTTCCCCTGAAAAGGTGGGACTCGGGGAAGAAGTCAGGCCAGGCTTTCCCTCCATCTTCGTGCTGCCTCTCGGGAACACCAGCAATTGCATGCAATTTGGCTCAGAGGGAATTGCCAACTTCATAAAAATAAAATAAAATATAATTTCACGCTGCTGGTTTTAGCATGGCAGCAAACTTTTCGGGCAAGACAGCAGGGCATCTCCTAATGCACAAGGCATGAGTCACCTTGAGCTATGAAACCCCAGAAACCTGGTAACAGGAGGGGTATTTGGCCACTTTGTAGCTGCTGTCCCCTCCAAGGGTGATGGGATCAGCCTCTGCATGTTGATATGGGAATGAAAATATTCACATATTATACAATATTTTTGTATGTCCTAGCGTGCATCCTTCAACATTTAGGGAGTGAATACGCTGCAGACAGAAAGTGTTTTTCCATCCACATTTTATGCTCAAAAGCAGCTTTTCAGCAGGTCAGCCCAGTGAGGAGGATGGGTGGGAAAGGAAAATTGAAGTCAAGTCCCAAGGCAAAAACTTCTCATTTAGATTTTAGGACCAACTAACTGCAGAACAGTATTAATGGAATAAAGAGAATAAAAAATGACCAGTACCAAAGATGCGGCCAGAAATCCTCAACCCCTTTAAAATTTGGGCCAATTCGATGTCTCATCTAGCTCTATAAAATAAAAGTACATTTGTGCACTCTGTAATGTGTGGACAGGTTTCTCTACACCAAAATGTATTTAAATCATAGTTCATCTCTTCAGATGTTTCTCTGCAACAGACAGAGGGCATTTGGGGAGCTTAATGGAAGCCAAATTTTTCTCCAGAATGTGCTGAAAATCTTTTTTCAAAAAAAAAAAGGTTAAAAAAAAAAGGAAAAGAAAACCCAAACCAAGAAAACTCTGACCACAAAGCAAGTACTTCCAGTGTGAAAACTGATGCTAAATCATTGCAGAATTACTTAAGATCATTTCACATTAATAATGTAACATGGGTGCACAAGAGAAGACCTAAAGGACTGTGCTAGGAAGGGAGGGTGGCAGGGAAAGGGGGGAGATGGAGAGGTGGAAGGATTGCATTAAAAGGCCTCTGGAGTGTATACCTCTGCATCTTTTAAAGATCATATACCTGAAGTGAATATCACCAAAACAAAATAAAGGGAAGAGAAAAACAAAATTAAAAATTCAGATGCTGCCTTTTTTTTTTTTTTCCTGTTTTGTTTTAAAAGGGTTGGGGGGGGGGGGGGGTTGTGATTTTTAAAAAAAAAAAAAAAAACAAAAAAAACCCAACAAACGAAACAAAAGTCACACATCTCAAACAACCAAGGACTTTACAAGGCCACAATGAAATTTGCGGATATGTCTGTACAGATCCCCGGACTGCGTGAAGCGTCTCTCGCACCACTTGCACCCGTGGGGTTTCTCCCGGGTGTGCACGACCGCGTGGCGGCTGAGGTTGTGGGAATACTGGAAGCTCTTCCCGCACTGGCCGCAGGTGTAGGGCTTCTCCCCCGAGTGAGTCCTCTCGTGCCTCTTTAGCGTGTACATGCAGGAAAAAGTCTTTCCGCAGAGGGTGCAAGTGGGGACCGACCCGTCGGGGGACAGGCGGGTCCGGGAGCCGTCCTTGTCACGGAAGTGAGAGCTCAGGTGCAGCTGGAGGATGTGCGGGCTCGGGAACACCTTGCTACAGAGGGGACAAATGCAGATATGCCCAGGAGGCACGAGGACGCCCGAGGAGATGTCCGACGAATCCATGTCGTCCTCGCTCTCGTCTCGCTCTTGATCTATATCCTCCTCTCGGGCATGAGAGCTGCCATTCCCCGCGAACATGTGTCCTAACCCTGTCACTAGGCTTTTGGCTGAATTCCCAAAATGCTGACTCTCTGGACTCCTGGCTTCGCTGTCCTCCTGATCTGACAGCAAGTCTTGTTCATCTTTAACAAGTGGCTCGGTACCCTGCTGCTGGCTGTCGGAAGCCAGCTGTCCAAAGACATAGGAGGGGTGTAAGGAATCTCTCCCCGGCACGGGCTTGAAAGACAAATCCAGCGCGCAGTCCACATCACTCGAAGCCAGGGGATGGTTAACAGACCTTTGGGACAAAGGTCCTGTGGAACTATTGACATTAGCCTTTGTTTTTCCAGCTGCTGCGGCGCACGGTTCTGCCTCTGTCGGCACAGAGCTGACACTTATATGATCAGAGGACCAGGCGGGGTGACTGCTGACCTTTTCTTTGCCTGCTGCTCTCTCGTATTCTGCAACGCTGAATTTTTGTTTGTTTCCTGGGTCAAACTCGTGGACCAGGGGCACTCCGGCGTCTAGAAAATGCTCCGCTTTCTCCAAACTCGCCGCCTCATCATTAATCTTCTCTTCCGAACATAATTCTTTATCTTTCAACTTGCCCTTGCAGACTTTCACAATGTCATACATGTGAAGGTAGCTCGCCGCAGCCAGCACATCTTCCACTGGGAGACTGTTGAATTCCAGCTTTCCCTCGTACATGAATTCGAGCAGCAGGCTGAAGGCAGGGGCTGTGACAATGTCACTGTTCAGATGCACAATATCCCTTTTGTCTAACTGGTCCCTGTAGAAAAGATGGAAGTACATACTGCAAGAGGCAAGAACGGCTCTGTGAGCTCTGAATTGAGCTTCTCCAACTAAAACAGTACAGTCACACAGGAAGCCCTGGTGACGCTGCTGACTCAGACACTGCAGCAACTGGCGGCTATGGTCTGGAAACTCCATTCTTCCTTCATAACCTGTTCAAAACAGGAAAAACTTGAATGCTACTGTAAACTAAAGCCTCCTAGCAGCTGTAACAAACAGATCGGCTTTTTGGTAACCCAAGCCAAAGAAACAGCCTTGGAGATAACATTTACTGTTAATTGTCTGTAATAGTTTTATTAAGGGGGGGGAGAAAAAAAAAAAACCACCAACACAACATGTTTCTCATCCTTTCGCACCTGCTCCGAACAGGAAAAACTTGATTGTAAGTAAACAAAAGCTAGTAAAGCAGCAGCCCCTCCAACCTTTGTTTCTCCCACTAAGCACTTTAATAAAATTATGCAGAGGACAGCGCGCACACACACCCCCAAAAAGAAAAAAAGCATCAACTCCCAGGCTGTCTTCCCAGCAACGCTAACTTGGGGCATCTTTTAATAAAGCATATTCCCCGCGTCACGCACGCACACACACACACACACACGCACATTTAAACTTTATCCTCAGTCGTTATGCACCGAATCACAACAAAACAGCGGCGGCTGGCGCTGGGGGAGCGGCGGCTCTGCGGGGAGGGGGGCGAGAGGCCCCGGCCCCCGCACGCGAAAAGAGCGGGGACTAACACTGAAGGAA